CCAGCTGTTGCTGCCTGTTCCCAGCTGCTTCGGGGGGGGGGGGCAGGGAGGGGAAGGGGAAGTCCTGAGAGGCTGCTGGAACATCCTCACCTGTTGGCCTGTCCTGGTGCAGTACTCCCCACCCATGAGGCAAAAGTCTGTTGGGTTCAATGGCGTTCTAACTCATGGTACTGTGTGTAAAGTGCCATAGTTACAGCCTTCCCCAACAGTGCCTGAACTGCTGTATACACCCTGATTTTTAAAAGAAACTTAACTGAAATTGATTTTTTTTTATCTACTACTGAATCTCTTCCCATATGAAATATATACTTAAAAAATGCACTGGCTTCCTTACAAGTCATATTCACATTTTAACCAAAGTCTTCTATAATGCTTTTATGGGACCACTACTGCATTAGTAAAAATAAATGTTAACCATTAATCTAAGCAATGACAGAAATTCTTGACCAGTACATGTCTGAAAGTATTTCTTTTTATCTGTAATTTAGTAGTAACAATTAATCCTTCACCTCAGCTATTATATTCCCTCCTAATAGCCCTCTGTTTTAAAACAGTGATGTTCAATTTTCTGGCCCTGCAGACTGGATAAGTGAAATGGGGCTAGTCTGCAGGCTGAACCCCATGAGCCAGATCCAGCACGGGACCAGCACACTGGTTGGTTCTTGGGTGCACTGGATCCAGATGCAGAGTGACCCTGCATGCCAAATGGACCCCTGAGCACTACATCGGGCCATGGAGTGACCCTATTTTGCCAGCATGATCTGGCTGTGACTTCTAGCTCATGGGGATCCTCACAGATCTGGAAATTTGATGAAGGAGCCCTATGAACCAGATGACATAGCCCTGTGGGCTGGATTCAGTCCTTGGGCCAGAGGTTGAGTACCAGTTTTTTAAAAGATATAACCCAAATCTTACCTTATTTCCAACATAAAAGATGGCAAAATTAGAGCACCATGCTTATGTTTTCCTTCCTTCTTGGCTTTATGTAATGGAGGAAAACTTTAACTCTCCAAATAACATATACTAATCTACAAAGTAACTATGATGAAGTATGATTGTTCATACAATATTACTTTTTAAAGTATTAAAGCCAAAGTCAGTAATCTTCATTATGTACAGAATACAGGTTGCTTATATGGTATGCCTTAGAGATTATAGAAATATCTGATCATTATGTAAGTGCATACAAGTTTTTGTGGTCTGTGCTGATATCATTAACCTCAAAGTGATCAGCATGTCTCTGAGATAGTGAGGTTATTTATGAAAGCCATGAGCATGAGATGTCAGGACACCACATCAACAGACAACCTTTCACTTTTTCTGAATACCCTATCAGTGTAGGGTAGAAGAAAAAAGGACCTTTTTTAGGGAACAGAATTTAAAAGAAACTGGTTTAAAATTTCCAAAGGAAGCACTTTTTTACACAGTGGGAACATATCCACGAGATGCTAGAGGCACAGTAGATTAATTCTACTGTGCATTAGCGTATCATGGTGAAAGCAGTGCTAAAGCGCTCCACTAAGCATTAGCATCACGTAAAAGATGTGCACTGGTGCTATTGCACAGTAGCACTGATTACAGTGCATTAAGTTTAGTACCTGTTATTACAGGTACTAAACTTAATGCACCATAATTCCAGTGCATTAATGCAAGTGTAGACATGCCCTGTGGTTAATTAACTTGCAGCACATTGCCCAAGGAGTTTGTATAGAAAAAATCATGAAGACCAGGTCCACTGACAGCTATTAAATAGAACAGTCAGAGATGTATTCCTAAACTAACAACCCTAAACTAATCACATAACCCTAAACTATTCATAACCCTAAACTAATCACAGCTGATGCCAAGGAGGGCATGATAGGGGACAGATTACACTAGCTATGCCTTTACCTAACATGTTTACTTATATACCACATGAACATTTCTCCCAAAAAACAGACTTTCAAAATTGGAGTATGGGTCTTAAGTGGGGGGGGGGAGCTGATTTTCTTCACCAGAATATAAGCAAAGTGGGGTAGAAGCATGAAGACACAGTGTTGCAAAATGGCTGTCAGCCTCTCTCTCAACAAACAAGCAGAAGGGGTGGAGTCCAGTGTGAAGTCCTTCACAGTCGGTGGCTGAGAAAAGCTAACTGCCATTTTGCAACATGGCTTCTCCATGAAAAAGCCAGCTCTAGGCCACGACTTTCGAAAAACCTTTTCTTCTATATTCTGCCACCCAAAAAAGTGCATGTCTTATTTGAGGAGCATGTGCTATGTGAGAAAATATGGTAAACTCTCCCTCTAAAGCATCTACTACTTGCCACTGCCAAAAACAGGCTACTCAGCTAGATGGACCATTGGTCTGTTGCAGTACAGTAATTCTTAAGCATAAAGTTGAAAAATACGTATAAAACTTTAGTTTGTTCATTATGAACAATCAAAGTGCATCCAAAATGCCACAATTCAATTGTTAATTTCAAGCACCCATCAGACAACTTACCCATGTGTACAAAAATACATTTTTTACTGCTATCATTATAATGACTGCACTTAGCCTAGACCTAAAATGTCTTTCCTACTTGTTACCTGTAATAGATATCTATTATTAGGAATAAGCATGAGTTTAAGTAGGGCATGATAATTAGGTAGAGTAGGTGCTTCTTGCTAACTTATAAAAAAACCTGTTTAAAAACCCCTAAAAACATATATTCCTTGGCCTAACCATGCTGTTCCATGACTGCACATTATAAATGGCAAATGGTGAGAATACACAGCAAGTAAACATTATCAGAACAGGGTCTTTTCAGCCACCGGCACAAATAAAATACAGCGAAAGCAAAATGAAAAACAAGATCTGTCAAAGTTCAGATTAGCCAGAGTTTGAACATTAGGAACATGTCTTAATCAGGATAGGTCTAACTTAATATCAGATACCTGACGAACAACAGAACAGTATCAACCTATTAAAACAGCATGTGCTTTAAACACATGCCTGATTTGGTTAAAATGTCCCTGAAAGTTAGACTGCTAAAGGGACTGGAACTACAGGTGCAGTGGTTTGGTTCTGTCTTAAACTTAATAAATAGTTAAAATTCATAGGATATTTATAGTTGTAACTGAAGTAATTAGATTCTTAAAAATACTGTTCAGATCCATTCTTCTTATTTTCTTAGAATAAGTGAGAGATTTTTGTTTCAATTAAAAACTATAACAGAATTATGTGAAGCAGAAAAAGTATTGTGGTACTTACAGGTATGTATGTATGTATGTATGTATGTAGGTAGGTATGTAGACGTATGAACTCACTTGTTCATATGCATTTATAAACATAATGTTCCTCTTTTTTTCCACTGACTAATATCATGTACAGCTTTTGTTGAGTATTTTTAACAAGTCTGTTACATGCTGAATCAAAAACTATGTGACCTGAGGCCAGGAAGAAGGGTACGTTACATGTTTTAACAGGTTGATTTCCTTTCTCTTTCTCTCTCTCTCTCTCTCCGAGTTTTCAAATATTTGTAAAGAGATCAGATTGTAGATTTACACAGCAAATACCTTGGTTACTGCCCATCCGCAATGTTTCATCCATTCTGTCAAAAATTAGGTCAAATAAGGAAAAATATCTTTCATGGCTGTCACTCAAAGCACATAAAAATAAGCTTGTTTAACCATGGCAATTGCCAGGAATTAATAAAACTCCACATCATAAGAAATGGTAATTAAAAAGTATTTAATTTAGCATTCGTTCATAAAATCCTTTTTAAAATGCTTAAAAATAGCCACACATGACAACTAAATTTGTGTTACAATCCTTTTTTACAACACTTTTTCTTTTCCTGAAGAAAAGGTAAGTTATATTAAAGTGTGTACCCTCGATGAATATGCCTAGATTTCCAGCCTGATAGTCCAGTAACAGATGCTTTAAGTGACTGCTCTGTATTTTATATCTTCTGTCTGGATGAAAGAAGAATTTGGAACGGATTTTTTTCCACAGGGACTAAAATACGATGCACTTCAAAAACCATGGCACTGGCCAGCATTAGCACGGCTTGATATTATGGTTCTACTACCTATGATTCTTTGAGTGTGCTTTAGCAAAATAATTTCTAAAAAAAAAGTTGCTTAGTTAAAAAAATACTATCTAAACAGCAGCAAGAAAATGGTTTTGTGGAATGAGTTTAAAATACATATGTTATACCTGTCTGTACATATCCACATCTCTCAGTTTACAGAAATATGATACTTGTTCAAGAGTTACTACCATTTTCATACAATACAGTGCAGTTAAAATATGTAAATCCATTTTCTCATCAGTAATGAATTGCTTCAAAATAAATTAACAGTTTTAGATTACAGACTAGTATACTGTAAAGACTTCTTTCTATTCAATAAGTGAAAAAAAATCTGACATTAATGGTAAAATAACTGTTTCTGACAGGGAAATTACTGTATGTCTGAATTTTAATTCACTTCCTAAAATTTCAATGTCCTGTTAAGATACTTGATACATAAAAATATACTGCATTTATAGCACTAACAGGGCAAGAGTTGTAAACTGGCCTCTTATTTCTGCAATTGAAATGCAGACTACAGCAATTCTCAGATGGTGTTTTCAGGATCATTTCACTAAGTCAAACTAAATTTCATATTCATTTAGTGTGTTTTAGATAAATCAAAGAAACAAACTTATCTTGGAATCTGGACATTCTTTCTGTATTTCTCAAGGCAAGCTTTGTGTGATGATTTTTTTCACCAAAAGCTATTATACAGTCCAGTATACTGCAATCTTGCAGCAAAAACTTCAGATTATAATTGCAGCTATAATTTTTCTTTAAGGCATCAGAGGAATTGCCAAGAACATTTCAGAGGGATACCAAAAGCTTGTTTGACATACAGTTGTTGCTACTTGTGCACAGCTTTTCCAAACAAAAAGTAACAGAGATACAACTGGTATTCATAACTAAAAATCTTCCTGTTAGTTCAGAGAGGACAACTAAGGACAAATTTAAGGATACTTACCTACTCGGAAGTTAGTGGCTGTCAGAGTGTCAGCAGCGTGACCATTTTCACTAATGAGGGTGGTGGTATTTCCCTTCTCACAGTTGTTCTGACAATTGCCCTTAGTACAAGTCACTTTACAGATGCTGGGTGTAAAGACCACCTTGATGCGCCCAGTGTGATTTCCCACTGCAAGTGTAGGCAAAGAAAAAAAGAAAAATAAACAGATCATGCTGGTATCCATTGATTTCCTTCAGATGTTAAAAAGAAGAAAAAAAAGCAACAGGTCTACAGAAGAAGGGCAGCCTGCAGCGAGCTCTCTCATCGATCTCCAGTGGTGTCTCTGAAACAGGAGTAGGAAGCCTAGCAAACAGAACTCCGGGATACACTCCAAAACCACATTTAAAGTCAAGTCACTGGAGTGGGATTAGTAATCACAATGCTGCACTTTATTCACAGTCAGACAAAGAGCAATACCAAGGGCATGACAGCTTAAATAGCCAACCCTGACAGACAGATGTAATGTAAAGAGGCTGGCTATGCACCTAGGGGTGAATAAACTCTTGTGTCCTCCTGCATACTTTTCCTGTTTCTGCACTTATTAAGTCACTATTTGTAGCTCAACCCCTGGAAATGTTTTAGGCATGCGGCATGTCTGAAAACATCTGTCTCAAATCTCCTGGCACCCCAGCCTGAAGTGATCAAACCCTGTGACGCAGCTGCCTGAAACCCATAGTTTCTTGGCACTAGTACTCCACACTGATTTACATATTATAGATTAATTTTTGCTGTCAACTATTTACTACTTAAAGGTTAAATCAGGGAAAAAGGCTAATAAAAATCAATAGATTAAAATACTACACTTGAGCTCTTATAGGCAACAAGGAAAACAGCCATTTTTTTTCTTTTGTACAGTGTATAACTTTATTTTATTATTTTATAACAGCAACTGGGCATTCACTAATTTTAAATTAAACTGCTCAGGCCAAGTTCAGGCTTTATGTAAATAATATAAGTGGATTTTACACCATAATTGCTTTTGATCCCTTATCTGGATTTGAAGCCAAACATTTCATTAAAAATTCAAAGTTATCAAAAGAAACAAGAAACATTTACCTTAGTTTGAAATAATTTAAGCAGTATTTTAATGGTTTGTATTGTTTACTGTTTTGTACTTGTAAATATATTACTTGTATTTCTAAGCATATTAGCACTTGTAAGTATGCTGGGATGCATCTATGAACACTTCCCATGCATACTTTTGTCACAAATTTGTCATGCAAAAACAATACTGATTTCTCAAAATGGAACATCTCATGTTTATACTTCCACAGTAGCAAAAGAAATAAAAATTACTAAAAAGTTGTCCAACTTAGTTTATGAAACATACTGCGAGTAAACATTTTTTGGGTAAAGCTTAGAAAAATGAAGAAAAACTTTCCACTTCAAAAGAATATACATGTATATTATTTCTGGCTCTTCACAGAATAAATGAAAACAATTGTGCCAACTGTTTTGTCTGAAGTCGGGGACATCAATCTATTTTGCTGGCAGCTGTTCCCACCATACCCTAAAAAACAGTAAAAAAAAATGTAGAGCCCATACATACGTACATGAAGGATATCATCAACAACATAATACTATTTATTTAAATTAATTTAAAACACACTTTTGATTGTTGAAAGCCAAACTTTTTCCTGTAAGAACTGTTGATATACCTTTCCCAACAAACAGAAATGGAAAGGCTTGTGAACTTGTGACTGCCAAAAAAAAGATTTAAGTGTTCTAAAGACTGCTTCACAAAAAATAACATAGTGTTTTCATATTTTCTTTGGATAGATTCTTAAAGAAAAAAAATAAAACTTTTCCTAGAAAAGCCCCAAACATCTTCTATTTAATATTTTAAGACACTTCTGCTTCATCTTTCCTTTAGGAAGTGATTTAATTAAAAAAACATGGATAGTTGAGTCACAAAAGTTGGTCCTGCCCACACTATAAAAACAGCTATATGGGGGGGACCCATGCCGGTTTTCCAAATTAGTTAATTTGCAGTTGACCTTTGCCAGTGTAGGTGGATTAAATCATCTTTTAATTGTATTCCTGAATTTTTGTGCAATGTTACAAAGTCCTGAGCTGTAGCATAGTGTAGGAACATGGCTAAACTTCAATTTGAGTAACAAAACACAAATTGTTACTGTGCAGATTAGGAATTTAGGTGAAATCATCTGTTATAGAAAACTTTTTGGAGGCAATCATAGTTTTACATCCAAAGTTGACTTTCCCCTCACTCTTTTCGACTGTGATTGTTAATTTCTAGTTTGCTGCCCCCCCCCCTTTTTTTAAGGATGCATGTTTAGGAAACAAATTCAAGAATTTAGGTGTCCAACACCAGATGTAAGAATTTTGGATAATGTATTTAGAGATGGCCATTGAGAAGGAGAAGGGAATTCAGACAGTCAAGCAGTCCTTACTCCTTTGGATTGAATCTTACTTCCAATGTACATCCTCAGGTTTAGACACCATAATCATGAGCATGATTTACCAGCCTAAATTGAATGAAAGAGACTACAAACCTTCCTTTTGAATGAAGCATTTGGCAGAAACACTGCAAGGTAAGCAACAAAGACTTCTTCAAGTTCTCTTTCCTTCCTCCGTGAGGTTTACTCAAGAGTGTGGGTCTTGTTCCTATCTAAGAAATTGTGTCCTCCAATACTTCATTTTTACTGGGTTTAGCAGAGTTGACATTTAATAATTATTTCAAGCTTGACTTCATCATCCAGTTTGATTATACATTAGGAGGCAACATAATTTAAAGGTACACAAACTACATTTCATTTTCATCTTTAACTTGAGATGTTGTGTTTTTGATTCTCTTGTACTATGGTAAAGAACAGAGCTGGACTTTATATATTTAAATTAATTTATGATAAAGATTGATGGGACCAGCACCATACTCTAGCTCATCTTCCTTTTCTATAGACAGAAGTAATCCCCTCCTAACCCACTTGCTACATGAAGGCTGCTTTTGCTTTAGATACGTTTATGGTGACAAAACAGTGACATAAGGACAGAACAGGATAAATAAATGACCCTAATGAGGAAGAAGAGAAGGCTCCTGGACCAGAAGATATTTAGATAAAATCATCAAAAAGCTATTAACAAAACCAACCAGTAGAACTACAGCAAATTAAAAAGTACTGGCCTACTAGAAATAGTAATGGAAGGTGTAAATGACATCTATTATGTTCTCATTGCTCAGGCTGAGGGGTAGATCCATGCTGACAGAGATCCATGTTTTCCATTCTGTGAAGCCTAATCTTAGATATATCTATGGATCCTCTAGCCCAGGTTGACTGCTAGAAGGTTGTGTTAATTGATTACACGTGCATAGTGTCTTAAATTTTAACAGACCAAATTCAAAATAAGGGTTTATGGGTATAACTAAGGGCTTATGGGTATATCTAAGAATAGAGTTGAGTTTGTAATTGGCATCCTACACATGTGAATTCCAATCTAGGGCCTTACATCTAACAAAGTAGGTTGTTGCCTACAGAAGTTCATGCCTCTTTGAACAAACTAGTCTCCAAGGGGGTTTATACACGTGTTCTGGGAGTGGGGGGAGGGAGGAGGGAGGCACTTTAATCAGATTGGCTCCAAGAGCTGCTTTAATTAAAGCACCCAGAGTGTCTTGTGTATCAGTGTCACTGTGCTGAAAAATGGCAGTGGGGGTGCTTTAACTAAAGCTCATTGAACGATACATGAGATGCTGGAGTCTTCTGAATCATGGTAATTAGGTCTGCTCCAACACGCTGTAATTACTTCCTCCAGTGGTGCTGCAGTCATCTAACCTGAAATCTTCAAAAGGAGACTGGACAGTCACCTTGCTTTTCCTGCCTAGTGTGGGGGGACTGTACCCGATGATCTACACGGTCTCTTCCAGCCCCTAACAATCTATGACTATCTGGGGTATGGCACCGCTATTCTGATGGAAGTTGAAGGATGTTTCACTATTAATAACTATGGTAGCAGGATTTGGCTCCTATTAAAAGGAATCCTGTACTGTTCTGTCCCATATGTTAAATGGGGTGAAGACTGAGGAGAAAATTAAGTCACTCCACAGAAGAAGTTTCTCTTAGTATTGCTTTACTGCAAGCTGGCATGATATTCATATATTTATGTTTAATAAAAAATCATCTACAGTGTGTACATGTATATGTACACATATACATAAAGACACAGGACAGAAAATGAAAGAACTCTCCATTAATTACCTTTATCATATGATAGTATTAAATTTGGTATATCCAAGTGTAATTTAGAATGTGTTCCCTGTACATAACCACAGCAGAACATACAGTATGATGGGGATGGTAGAAGCAACTTCAAAAGGATTAAAAGGGAAAGTATCTCTGTCAAACAGTAGATAACCTCAAGAATGCAAATCTATCTTTGTTCTCTTCTCTTAAAAAGTACTCCCACACCAGGCTGACTAGCATTTATGTAGAAAGATAGTCAACCTTTTAAAACTCTTTTGTAGTTGTTGATTTGTTAAAATTGCTGACAAAAGAAAGCAATGGCGAAGGAGCAAAATGACGGATATGACTTATTTCCTAAATCAGGTCTTTTACAGCTATTTTATTAGTCCACCTGGTTTAATTCTAACGGATTTGTTTATTAAGCCAAAAGGAAAGCTGGCATCATATAAAAACTTATCATAGTGGTAAAATATATTTTAAGTGAATTTACTTTTGTTTAATAATGAGTTTTGAAATAATATACTTGGACATTAATTCTCAGAACCACTGAGACAGGAATAGCAAGAAAATATCCTGGTTTCCCCAGTAATCAGAACAATGTAAAGGCTAGCTTTAAAAAATCCCAGAAGATTTTGCCCAGTTCATGTCAGTCAGGGTGTGGAAGATCACTTTACAGTTGGAGCTAAGGAATGTCAATTAAAAACTGGTTCAGTTGATGCACAAATGAGAAACAAAGAATTTATTATCAGATTCATACATAACTGAAAACAAGAGCTTGCTGAATCTGACAGCATGCTAGGTGAAGGTACATTCTTGGGATTCAGTCTGCCCTTATTCTGAACTATTCACAACCTATGTCTAAACTCTGTAGAGTTCAGTTTATTCCTACTGGTGTGCAATTCCAGTCTCCAGGACAATAGAGGGCAATACCTC